ATTCCGAGATGAAGACAAGAGGGGATGGAAGGAAAAAGGGGGCTCTATGTACAAACCTCAGCATGGTGTGGAAGGATTGAAAGGAAAGGCACTTACCAGTAAGGTTGGAGTAGGTACAAATCGTCAAGTCTTGCTTTTATGCTGTTGGTATGGTTTCCAGGTTTGGGAGTGCGAGACGACTCGAAGTGTCTCACTTGTATTTTCTGTTTCTGTTTCTTCTCTTTCTTGTACGCTAGGCTACGGTTTCTGCCATTGTATTCGCCTCAGGAATTCAAAGGTTTTCTCTGTTTTCTCTACTTCATATATATAAACTGTAGGATATCTATCATAATATGGGACCAGTTTGTATGCATTAACCTTTGGGGATAAATCACAGATACAGTTAACCGAAGAACCAGCCTGAATTTGGTTGTCACTTCTCATTGAGGACCAAACTTGAAATCTATGTAAATGTGGGGAGCAACATAGAACAATTGGCATTAAGAGCCCATTTGGTAATACCCAAATCGGCTGTATTGGCTAATTCTGCTGAAATTTATGAAGTTCTGGCTGAAATGGTTGTATTGACCGATTTGTGAAGAAGACAAAATTAAAATATATTTTAATAATAAAATAAAGAAAAAATTATATGAAAAAAAAGCTAAAACAGTCCTCTACAGTAACTACAGTAACTTCAGCCAATACAGCCAGAAGAGTAACTCCAACCTTACTTTTTCTTATTATTACACAATTCAGCGCGCGAAATCAAAAGTTACATGTTTGATGGAAAAGTTAGCTGATAAGCCTGATAAGCCAAAAATCAAGGTTACCAAACGGGCTCTAAAACTTGAACTGGCTATTTAATAAAATATCTCCATCATATTTTTGTTGTTCGCTTTAAATACGCTATATGTATATAAATGGTCGTGTGTGCTTCTAGCATCCCAATTCATGCATTAACAACAATTTGTTCAGTAGTTCAAAACTTTCTTATATATACTCTTGCACACATAGTTGTTACGGCGGGGTTTTGCGGCGCGGCGCCTTTGGACTGCCATACCGCCATGGCGATATGGCGCCCGTCGTGGCGGAGTCGCGGCGATAAGTCGACATATACATTAATAAATTCATAATATGTTTTACATACTAAAAAGCCTACATGCAACACTTATACCCAACAATACTAATGAAGTAAATGAAGTAATAAAACATGTAATCATAGAAATAACATAATCCATATGACCATAACCATAAGCCTATAGTTCATCAAAACAACCACAAACATTATCCATAATCCAAAAACTAGAAAATAGAAATAAGTCAATAACATAATCCAACACAAAAAGACTTAAACATCATCAAGGAAATCGTCAAATCTAGAGTCAGCTTGGTTGTTATGAATGATATCCATGGCATCCTGATCCTCATCATCGACGTCTAAATTATCATTTGGAAATGGTTCACTCTCTTGACCATTCTCTTCAACATCTGTATCATCATTACGACGTCGAGAATAAACTCTAACTGAACTTGAAGGTTCACCACCATCACCTCTCCTAGGATTACGGCGATCTAGATTTCTTGAAGCACCAAGAGCTTCATCAACTTCATCCCATAAAAGATCACCCCCATGGTGAACTACTTGACTACCAGAATCATCAACCCACTCATTATCCCAAGAAAACTCTTCTAAAACCAAAGGGTTGAAACTACTTCCTTCTTCACGCCTCTTTTTGAACCTGCTGACAATCTTCCTATTGTACTGAATGAACACCAAATCATTCAGTCTCTTATGCTCCAACCTATTTCTTTTCTTGGTGTGGATCTAAATAAATAAATAAATAAAATTATTATCATTTGAAGTAAGTAGTTAAAAACCTATAGACTTCAAAAGGATGGCGTAACTTACAAATTCAAACGTACTCCAATTGCGTTCGCAACCCGAAGAAGAACAACAAAGGCCTATTATGCGTAATGCAAGTGATTGTAGCTCCAAAGCATGGCCACCAAAAGCATTCCACCAATCGACTAATAAGTAATAAAAATCACAAGTGTTTTAAGAATTCATATTTTATAAGTAAAAAAAAATTAAAATAAATACTATTATTTTAGTAACAACTAACAAGGTATGACTTACGAGGCGCCTTGGTTTTTTTATGTTTGATTGGCAATGGCTTTGCAAATCCTCCTCGCAAGAAATCATAATCATCAACTTGTTTGCTAATCTTGCACTCCAACTCATCATCACCAATCATCTTGTAAACCACATCATTGAACAACGCTCGTTGCTCATAAGCATATGCAGTATCAGTCCTCTTCAAGTCAAAATACTTAGATGGGTTGAGAAATAAAGCAGCCCCATACAACTTTACTTCCATTTGATCTGCCCAATGATCCTCAAAAATCTTCATTAGCTTTTTCAACACTCTGGGCCTACCTGCAAACGACTCATTTATTTTTTTCTTAGCTTCTCTCATAGCCATGGCAAGCTCAGGCATAGTCGGGTGCTCATCCCCATCAACTATCCTTGGAACAACAAGAAGTGGATGACATGCTCTCAAGGTATCCTCCACCCCATTCCAAAATTTAGTAGCAAGAATAGTGTCACATACCCTTTGCCCCACTGCTGTACTTGACAACTTCGAATTATTCCAATCTTGACTCACAAACAAGTTCCTCAAAGGTTCTCTATACTTGCACAAACTTTGCAAAGTGAGAAATGCTGTGGCAAACCGTGTAACACCAGCCCTCACTAGATCTCTTCCACCAGTTCTCTCCCGCATTGCGCTTAGAATCCTTGTGTGCCTATAAATAAAAGTGGTGCAACGTCTTGCACTATCAATCCAGGGCTTAAACTCAACGAGTTTCCCAATATCCTCCATCATAAGATCTAGGCAGTGAGCCGCACAAGGAGTCCAAGAAAGTGTGGGTATACGCTGCTCCAATAGCTTCCCAGCGGCTTTGTAGTTTGCTCCATTATCTGTCACTACTTGAATGACATTCTCTTTGTCAATCTTTTGAATCTGTTTCTCAAGCAATGATGCTAACAGACTTGCATCTTGTGACTCATGCGAAGCATCAATCGACTCTAAGAAGAAAGTCCCTTCTGGACTATTAACAAGAAAATTTACCAAGTGTCGACTCCTTTTATCGGACCATCCATCCGACATGAGTGTACATCCATATTGCTTCCAAGCAATTTCATGTTTCTCCTTCAACTTTTCTGTATCCTTCACAACTTCCTCCAGAAGAGGCACCCTTAATTCATGATAACTCGGAGGTTTCAGTCCGGGGCCAAACTGCCCGATTGACTCAATCATAATTTCATAGCTTCTTGAGTTTGCAGCATTGAACGGTATGCCATTCTCATAGAAAAAATCAGCAATGTGCCCATGAACTTTCTTGACCTCTTCTTTGGATCTAGTACAACCCTCAAGAGTCTGTTGACTCTTCCCCTGAGAATGCCTTTCTTCTATCACTTCTTCAGGTGACTTTCTAATCATTGAAGCAACAGAATTAGTTGGTTTACCTGATTTTGGTAGTGAATGCTGAAATTTTAGAGTGGACTGCGCTACACGCTTCCTTTTTATGGCTGTTCCAGAACTAGGAACTGGATGGATAGAAGAAGCACGAGATGATACTTGTGTCACAGGATCCTCGTCTAATTCATCATCTTCATCATCCTATTCAACAGGCACTTGCATTTTATTCTTCATTTTGCTCTTCATATAATTGCCTATCTTAGTTCTTATTTCTGCAGTTGTCTTTGTGCATTTTTCAACATCCCCGTAACCGCCAACTAAGTGTTGCTTCAACCGTTTAACTCCGGAATGCACTTGTCTTCCACAAAGTGCGCATTCTACCAAGTCCCGGTTATTCTTGTCCGGCCAAAAACCAAATTCCCATCCGGGATCATCCGATTTGGGTTTTCTGCTTGGATCTTTTGATGGATCATAAGTTTCCGGATCAGCCATGGTAAGCACTGTTTAAAAAATTTATTAAATGTAAAACTAAATAACAAAAATTTCACATTTAATGTTAAAAAATATATATATTAAATGTAATACAACACCGTCACACAACATAAATTTCAGCTTCAATTGAAGACACTGAAAAAAATTAGGAAATATAAAATTTAAAAAAAAACTACTGAAATTTATTCATTATTTGGGAAAAACTGAAATTTGTTTTCACAAATATACAATACTGACTTTTCAAAAGCTTTTTGACTTTCTGTAAAACATTATAAAGTTCATCACAACATTAAATACAACATTAAGTTCAAAGCATTCAACAAAATATTTAATACAATTTTTTTTGAAAAATATTAAATACAAAGTTTTTTTTGAAAACATTAAATACAAAGCTACTCACTGGATGATTTTAAACCCACGTAATTAACGAAGTTAGATGATTTTAAACCAAGTACCCAACTGGAGCAATAAGTCTAATAATTAAAATAAAAACACGAATCAAATACCCACTAAAGTTAAAAGTCTAGAAATAAACTGAAGAAGTAAAGCTGCGGACGATTGAAGCGACTAAGAGAGGCTCGCCATTAAAGACGGAAATACCTTGCGGACGATTGAAGACGGAAGGGAAGTAGTAGCGTGCGGACTGCGGGAGATGGATTGAGCGCAGATGGGACTCTGCGTTTAGACTACGGGAGATGGATTGAGCGCAGATAGGTCTGGTTTTTTTTTTGATGGGTTCAAAAAATTGGGTTTGTTTTTGGGCCTTTTCAAATAATTATGTCCTGCGTCCAGTTCATATAAGTCGTCGACTAGGCGTCTATGGCGTTTTACCGACGCCACAAAGACGCTACTTCGACGCCACAAGGTTTATGGCGTGTCGACAGCATATGTCGATCCTCTCTTACCGCCTGGACGATTTGGCGACGATAAGGCGACGCCATGGCGACGCCATGACAACTATGCTTGCACAGAACCTTTTGATGATACAAAAATGAGTCCACCAATAAAGTGAAATAGCGCTAGCTTTAATGGAAGTATAGTACTCACCTTGAACAGCAACGCACGATGACGTGACAACCCGATATTTAAGGATCCTATAGGCAGCACACTGGTGTGAAGAGAAGTTCTCAATTCCATACTTCTTTCCATCCATCTAGTTAGTATGATATTTGCATCCTTCACCTGCCCACCCAATTGTTCTATTACAAGTTCAGCAAGTCTCTGAACTAGCAGACCAATCTGATCTGTGGGGGAATCTAATGCTATGCAATGTGCAATCTGTATAAGCTCCTCCAATGATGGGTCAATTTTCTGATTCACTATCACAACTTCAAAGTCAGAACTTCCACCATTCGTTTCAAGTTCAGAAAGAGACGGCATTTTCCCCCGACTTGCAGGACTTGTGAAGAGGCTATATACATCATAGAAACCATCAACAACTTTTTCCTCATAGTCAAGAATGCTGTAATCCTAATGAATAAAAAAAACGACGTTGTAAAGAAATGGCTAGGGATACAAATAACCAAGGCATATCATCCAGCAAACAATCACTGACAAACTTCAAAAAAAAGGAAACAATGTGGAAGTTTCGTTACGTGTAGCAATGCGGAGGTGAGGAGGCAGTATATCTGTTTGTTTATTATCTTTTCTTGTTATAATATAAATTTCAGGGTGGAAATGAATTTCTACTAATTAAGGATATGAAATCTAGTACTCACCCAATAGTGACTCGACAGAAAGTCAGCAGCAGCTTCCTCCCTATCACGAGCAGATTCAGCACTATATCTCCCTCCACCGAGGATCTGACCTTTGCCGGAGTCAAAGGAAGGCTCCTCAGCGTGGGATGAGGAAACACTGAGTGCTAAGGCAAGCTGTATCTGGTAATCCTCTTCGGAGGCATAGTAGTCATGTTGCGGATTGATAGCAGGCGCTCCTGCAGCGGCAACTGGCGCGGCGGCAGCTGAAGTAGATGAGGCAGTCGAAGGACTCTGCGGATGCTGAGAGGTGCTAGATTCGCGCTGATGGGCAGACGGTGGGGAAGATGATGAGGTGAGCACGGTAGAGGAAGACGAAGGCTGAGGAGACTCGTTCGATCGGTTGGGGTGGTGAGGCTTCTTCTTGAAGATGTTCTTCATAGATGACCGGTCTCTGGGAATCACAGATCAGTACAGTAGAATGAATTTATTTAGGAAAATGGTCGCACAGAGGAAATAACTACCTGGGCTCTGGGACTCACATGTGAGAATCAAATTTCAGAGTTCGTATATGGTACCACCGTCTCTCTCTTGAGCACGGTACAGCCGGTCCAATAACAGGCTCAACGGAAAAATAGGGAAAATATTCGGTGGCAGTTTTGTAATTGATGTAAAAATCGTGGTTTCTGCTAAATGAGTATCGGTGTACAGTTAATGAGCAATAGTCCAATTTTAATGAGTATTAAGCGTACAATAATGAGCACCATGTTAGTACAAGAAAGCTGATATCACAACTAAAAACAGTGGCATTTTCGTAATTTTAGTGAAAATTTCGTTTTTCGTTAGATGAACATTAATACATTTTCAATGAGCATCAAATGTATTGTATTGAGCATTAAAAGGCAAATAATGAGTGATGTAATATCAACTTCATACATTGTAATTAACATTTTTTCCTTACCTTTTCTTTTATAAAAACTCATTAAATTATATCTATAATCAATTCTTATGAATTTTAATATGCGAATCTAATGTAATATGATACTTTTGAAACGTACATTGTTATGACATTTTAAAAATGAGCACATCAGTACCAAATGAGCATACGTAACATGCAAATGAACATTGATATGAATATGACATTTTAAAATGCGTATTACATTAATACCAAATGAGCATAAATACCAAATGAGCAACGAAAATTCGTGTTTTTCATTTAGAATCTCTAGTATGCTCAATTTTTCATTTATGTACATCATTTTATTCTCTAGTATGCTCAAGTTTTCATTTGTGTATGCTCATTTGAATTTCCCTACGAAAAATTCAAAAAACTCATTTAGAATCTTTAATATGCTCAATTTTTCATTTCTGTACATCATTTGAATTCTCTAGTATGCTCAAGTTTGCATTTGTGTATGCTCGTTTGAATTTCCCAACGTGCTCAAAATTATCATTTATGTAAGTTCATTTCTTTTATTCATTATGCACATTTATTATAAACACTTTACTCATTACCAATATAACACAAAATTTATGTTAGCAATTAACAAACTCAAAATATTAATACACAATATTAAAATACAATTTAAAAATACATTCAAAAAGGTGATAGTGGGGTTTGACTATTTGAGAACTTTATATGCCCACTTTCTCTCCAACGTACGAAGGATTAAAATCGGCTTCTCCATCATCGACCTCAGCGATTCTCCCGGCCGCGAGCACCTCCTTCGTCGATTAACGAGCAGCGAGCAACACGTCCATCGTCTCCACCGAACAATCTGCAGATCCCTTCTAGCCCAATGGTTCAAGCACAACATGGAAGAAGGTTTGCCACTAGATCTGTAACTAATTGCAAAAAAAACCCGGCTGTACCATGCCCTAGGTACAGCCGGTTGTACGATAGTATTTTTGCAAATTTCACGCCAATTTATAAAGGAGTGTTTGGGTTTGTTAAAAAAAGCGCTTTTCAGCTTTTTGGCTTAAAAAATTTGAAAAAAGTGTTTTCAAATGACAGCTTCTGCTTAAATTAATCACTTGAAAGCTAAAAGCTGGAAGCAGGTAGAAGAGTGCTTTAAACTGCTTCTCACTTTTTCTATTACACAAAAAGTACTTATTTTACCAAACACTACCCACTTTTACTTTTCCAGAATCACTTTTTTCTCAAAAACTACCAACTTTTATTATTAATCACTTTTCCCAAAATCATTTTAAAAAATCACTTTTTTAAAGTTGAAGTAATTGCAAACTTATTAATTAAAGTCTTACTTTTATTAGTATCCATCAGTTTTTTCTAATTCTTCTTTTTTGCAAACAATTATGATTTAAAAAGACAAAAAATTTCATGTAAAAATAAATAAATTTGGAGTTTATTTTGTTGTTGTCGTTTCTTTAGGCCTATTTTTTTAAAAAAATGAATTATGTAATAAACAAATTAACCATGAGAGCTTAATTTTAAAACTTGAAAGAAAAAATTATAGGTTAGATAATCTCTAGTAGATGAAATTTCATGTTTTTTGTCTAAATTTTATATATTTAATATTGATGTCATATGAAAGATCATAACAAATTTTGAATTTTGGTATAATTTTTGTAAAAATTGAGATACAAATAAAAATGTTACTCCATATAAGACAAAAAAATAGGGATTTATATATATTATGGGACCCAGTTTTTTCCTTTGATGCAATACCTTTTGGGACTAAGGCTAAAATGTTATCGATTCATGTTAGCCGACTCTGATATCTTTTGGGACTAAGCCTTGGATGTTGTTGTTGTTGTATGCAATGCCAATTGCACCTTCCCTGTTCCCGATGCCCAACAAAAAGCAGAGTTAATAAACCCAATTAATTCTCAACCATGGGGTGTCGGCCATGTACTCACATTGGCACCTCTAAATACATGGGTTGTAAAGTTTCTTGGGGTGAAAAGCTCATGTATGACTCTTTCGCCCATGGATTGCAGCTAGCCTTACCGACTCTTACATAGTTATATCCACTGATCCACCTTTTGCTACTTTTACTCACTCCTTAGAATCTTTTCTTTTGGATTGCTTTCAGTTTCAGACCAGACCAGACTTCCATAGTTATAAAATACACAGAGACCATACATTTATCAGACCAGACCGAACCAACAAATTTCAGACCAAAAGAACACATCCTTGTACTCACTTTTGTGTGAGATTTTTTTGTCTGTAAATCCCGTTTACAGACAAAACAAATATATTTTTGTCTGTGATAAAAACATGTATATTTTGTCTGTGAACGGGATTAACAAACAAAAAATAGTCTTAGACAATGATGAGTATAAGAGGGTGGGTACAAACAAAAATTTCCATATAGATAAACATCATGCATGTTTGGTCTATGTTTTCTTTCCTTTTCTCCCATTTTCAATCAGATTCACATCTACTATCACCATTTTCAGGGGCGGAGCTAGGCGCCAACTAGGTCCCGGCCCTCCCTAAATAAAAAAAAAAATATACCTTATAATTTTAATGTAAAAAATATGTATAACTTTTTTCAAAAATATTCTTGTACCGGCCCAGTACCTTGGTTTCGCCTCTCTGCCTCTCTCCGTTTTCCTCACTTCATCTTCATCTTCACTATCTCCATCATCTTCCATTTCCATCTACCTCACCATATGCATCACCTCTCATCTTCATCATCTTCCATATCTATCACCTCACCAGTTTTACCATTATCATTTTTAGGATCGATTTGAAAATAAAAAGTTTGAGAGTCGCCAGAAAGTCGTCGAAAAAACATAGATGAACATTCGCCGCAAACTATAGATGATCATTTGCCGGAATTTTCATCTGTGTATACAGACACTAGTTTTTTTTCAATGTCTGTTTGCCCATGCAAAATTGTTAAACACGAACAAAAAATGTACAAATTGTTTATCTATTGTTTATCATGGACGCATTCTGGGGCTATAATTAGATATTCATGCACCCGGATGATAATCAGATATTCGTCACGTTGGACGGCGTGTACTGTTATATAGTCATGTTGTTCGGCCTGAGGAATGCAATGGAAACCTTTCAGAGAACGATCGGGATATTATTCAAGAAGGTCCTCAACATAATCATGGAGGCCTACGTGGATGGTATCCTGATCAAAAACAAGAAGAAGGAGGACCATGTTCAGGACATGGAGAGGGTGTTCAGCATAATGGAGAAGGCCAATATGAGGCTTAACCCCAAGAAGTGTGCCTTTGCCATCAAGGGCAACAAATTCCTCGGCTACATGACGAGTGAACGAGACATTGAGCCAAATCTGGAGAAGGTAAAGGACATCGTGGACATGGAAGCTCCAAGAAATCCGAAGGACATACAGAGGCTCATCGTCTGTCTGGACGCCCTAAGTCGTTTAATGTCAAAACTGGCCGAACAGGCAATCCCTTTCTTTCAGATCATGAAGAAGGCGAATCCGTTCGAGTGGACCCCGGAATGCCAACAAGCCCTTGAGGATTTCAAAATATATCTCTCCTCATCGCTCGTCCTCACAAAGGCGGACCCAGACGAGCATTTGTACATGTACCTAGTCGTGGCTGACTTGGCGGTGAGCTCAGTGCTGCTGAAGAAAGCTGAGGGCGTCCAACGGCCTATATATCTTGTGAGAAAGACACTAAATGGCCCAGAGAAGAGATGCCTTCTGGAGAAGATGATCTTGGCACTCATAGCAGCGATAAAGCGCCTGGCGCCGTGCTTCCAAGCCCATTATGTGACAATATATACGACGCAGCCGCTCGCCACCATCCTAAGAAACCCAATGGACAATGGTTGCATCACCAAGTGGTTTCTTATTATCGGAGAGAACAATGTTGAATTCAAACTCAGGCCGACGATCAAAGGGCAAGCCCATGCTGATTTCATTGTAGAATGCACTGCGGGCACCGAGGAGAAATCCCCAGATGAGAATGATTTTGACAACTGGTGGGAAATGTACACCAATGGGGCTTCCCGTCCTCGAGCGAATCACCAAGGGTCTGTAGCCGAGTCGAGGACTTGATGAGGGGGTCGGGGTGAATGGTTGGGGATTCTGAGTTCGATTGTCGGCCTGGAACAAGGAGTGGTTCAGTCCTCGAACGAATCACCAAAGGTGTGTAGCCAAGCCCATGGCGGGCCGAGCCGGGGACTTGATGAAGGGGTCAAGGGCAAATGGTTAGGGATTCCGAGTTCGACCACCGACCTGGAATGAGGAGTGGTCAAGTCCTCGAATGAATCACCAAAGGCTTGTAGCCGAGCCCATGGTGGGCCGAGCTGGGGACTTGATGAGGGTTTGGGGGCGAATGGTTGGGGATTCCGAGTTCGTCCGCTGGCCTGGAACGAGGTGTGGTCTTGTCCTCGAACGAATCACCAAGGGCCTATAGCCGAGCCCATAGTGGGCCGAGTCGAGGACTTGATGAGGGGGTCAAGGGCGAATGGTAGGGGATTCCGAGTTCGGCCACCCGCCTTGAACGAGGAATAGTCCAGTCCTCGGACGAATCACCAAGGGTCTGTAGTCGAGCCCATGGCGGGCCGAGCTGAGGAATCGATGAGGGGGTCGGGGACGAACGATTAATGCAAAAAA